TTGGGGACAACTCCTCATCTTCATTGCTATGGCTGACACCCTGAGCCAGGCCTCCATCATTTTATCTTTAATATTAATTGAGGAGTAATTCTTTGTTTGGGGGGGGGCTGTCCTGTACATTGTAGAATGTTAGCAGCCTCCCTGGCTTCTATCCATGAGGGGCCAGTAGCATGCCCTCTCTGCCCAGTTGTGACAACCAAAACATTTCTCCAGACATTGTCAGATATCCCATGAGAAGCAAATCGTCCAATGTTGAGAACCGCTACTTTAGACTGACATCCAAAGACCTCCATTAAATGTTAATTCCTCAAAATGTATCGATCCTTTTAAAAATCATCCCCAAATCTCTTATGTTAGATTCAATCAAGAAAATGCGATTTTTTTGCATGTTTTCCTTGCCCAAGTCAAAGTGTCCTTCTTCCAGTCTGCCTGTTTATTCCTAGTTATAGTCATACACAGCAGGAAAACTTCTATGATTAATGTCATACTCTCATGTTATCACTGTATTTTGTTGACATCTTTTCTTCTCAGCATCCCTCATAGTCTTTCTTTCTCTTCTTATGGCTGATATTCTTCAGTGTTCTGCTTGCTGTCCTCATTTTTACTTGGCCTGCATTCTCCCAGGATAAGGTCTTCTTCCTTCTGCCTCATCCTTTGTAACATCGACCACCATCACCCCTGCTCCAGATTTGTACCTCCAGGCTGACCTATCTCCTGAACCATTGAGTAGTTTTTCCAACTAATGGCAAAACATCTGCAAAAGAAACTACAGACCACTCGAAGTCAATATGTCCAAAAAAAGTTTATTTGCTCCCCTGACCAAACTCTTCCCCCATCTTCTTTTCTCAATAAATTTATTTACAATGCATCCAAGTACCCTAAACAGGAACCTCAGAATCTCTCTTACCCATTCATACAAGCTGTCTGTAAATCTGTTCCCTCCTTTCTCCCCATTGTTCTTACAGCCCATTTGTTCTTCTCGGCCCATTTTGTTGAAGTTCTGGTCTCCTTGCCTTTAGTGTATACTTTGTCTAGTCTAGACTTACCTTTATTTTCCCTTTAAAACACCACTCTGTTCATAAATGTTTGACAGCTTCCCACTGCCTATTATCTAAACTCCAAAGTGAGTTACGTGGAACCTTCACAACCAGGCTACACCTGCCTTCCTACTCTCTGCACTTGTGTACCCTCTGCACATCCAACATTCCAGCCACACCAGTCCACTAACTAACCAGTCCACACCATTACTCACTAACATTCTCCACGTGTCTGTCAGTCAGGCTCCAGTCAGAAAACTGAAACCATGCTAGGTATTTCAACAGGGATAATTTATTACAGGAAATGGTTAAACAGGTGTTTGAGAATTTAAAAACGAGAACATGACACTGAAGTATTAATAACTTGGAGGTGCTTTACTATGTAATCAGAAAGCAGCTATCACCCTGGGGCTGAGGAATTATAGGAAAGACGATGGGTGATCAGAAACTAAAAGTTCGGGTGAGAGATGCCGCAGACCTGGGACCTGCATCTCTGAGGAAGGGTAACGCCTAGCTACTGTTAGTATAATACCTCTGACATGCTGAGCAGAGGCTCCTTGGGCCTGAGGCTCACATCTCTAGGCTCACATCTCTAGCACCAGCTCCCAGGCTGGTGCAGGAACCTCTAAGGGTAAGGTGAAGCTGGTTCTGAATAAAGCTTAGCACTGTAGTCAAATGTTGATGTCAGGATGAAGCGCCATTACTGAAGCTGTAATGGCAGGAAGAGCCATCAAACGAGATGAAGGAAACAGGATCTCCATTCCTCCTACCCTCTCTGCTCCCTCTAGTGCCCCCTGTTGGTGGAATCCAACAGACAACTTGTAGGGTTCTGGCCTTAACATCAGAAGAGTGGATTTAGAGTTGAGAGACAACTGCTTAATAACCAATACAGTGCACTCCTTGCCTTTCCTCATACAGTTTCCTTATGTATAATGTTTTTTCTACCAACATCTGCCTGACGCATGCCTTTATCCAAATACAATTTCTTTTCTATAATCTTCCCTAATCTTCCCAAAAGTAATTATTTACACCATCATTTGAGTTCCCCTACCAGTTTGCAAATGATTCCTTTGTAGTCTTTTTATATTGTATCATAATGTGTGTTTGTTTATTTTCTGCCAAACCGTGAACTCCTTTAGGGCAGTTAGAGTTACAACCATAAGATTTAGTAGGGTACCTGGCATGAAACAGATGTTGGTTGAGCTGGATGCAATTGATAAAGGAATTTTAATGAAATTAATATTAGATCATTTCTTATAGATATGCTATCTTCCCAAGCAGATTTGAACTTCATAAGAGCAAGATCATGCTTTGTATTTCTTTTATTTTCTTCATGATGTTTAGTACAAGGTTTTATATGCTGAAGAAGAACTCAATGATATTTGTTAGCCACCTAGTTTGTTCATTAACCACCACAATTTTGATTCAAAACGACATGAAGATGGAGAATGTGTTTGTGAATAGAAGGTAAGATCTATAGTTAGGTTTAGCTGTGCTTCTAGAATGTGATTCCAACAGTTAGAGAGCACTGTGCATATGGTAAAGTTCTGTATTTGTTAGAGGAATAGCACAATCAAGAGACCAAATGTAATTTGTTTAAGGTGAATACCAGAGTAATAAAGTATATTTTCAGTTTCATTTTTTTCTATTTATCTCTTACAGAAAATATATTCCCCCAATTCATGATATTATTAATCCTGGGCTATGTCTGATTCTAGTATATTTATTAAATTTCTGACAACCATCAAAATCAACTAGTAATTATTTAAGTGTAGGAAAGATATTGAATTTTAACTTAATCACCAGCTTCTTAAAAAAAAAAGAAACCTCTGTTCAACAACTGATTTACATTCAGGTCCTAGATGAAGAAAAATAGCTTTTTTTTTTTTTAAAGGGGAGTGATATTTAATTAACTATTGATTTCTTCTCAATTATTCAAGGCAAGCAATTATCGATATTGATGGAACAGATATTTCCCTACCTCTAGTGCTTAAATGAAAGGAAATATCCCATTCAGCAATCTGCTTCCTAGAACAAGAAATGCTGAGAATCTTTAACTTTAAATGGAAACAGTTATTTGGATCTGTTTATTCCACGTTGCCCCAATTAAACAGATATTTCTTGAAGTGTAAGCAAAACAAAATCCTGAAAAGCTATGTATGGCTTTCCAAATTAACTACAGCCAAAACACAAGGGCTTTTGTCAGCTTTGACCGTGAGGCTAACCACACTACACTTGTGGACTTTGCTTTACAGCTACAGATCTTGACATTTTTAACCGTGACTCATAAAATACTATAATTTGGATCTAATATTCATGATTTCTAAGCCACCCAATGAGAGGTAGCTTATATAATCATTAGAACCTATGGAACACTGCCTTGTATATCAATATTTTGAGCCTGAAGGATTTAGTAGGCCTTAATAGTCACTCCTGACATTTACAGATAGCAAATGTGGATGCATTTGAAAATTATACCAATGCACTATGCAACTGTGTTAGAGGTCACCCAGGAAATGTTGAAGAAGGTGGTAAAACAGTGCCCTGTTTAGGGCACTTGGTTATTAACCCTGTGGGTAACCACCAATATCTTTTCTCAGCTCATTTGCACACACAGCATTAACATGTTTGTGTGTAAGAAGTTTCTCTTGAAGGTGACATGACTATTGAACACGATTAATGGAAAAGGCAACATTCTCTATTGAGTTACTACTTGGAGGGTGTTTTTTTTTTTAATACTTTGCACTTCATAGTAACATTAGGTGTGCGTATGAGCGTGTGTGTGTTTAATTCATGCGGCATCCCTGGGGAAATTTGACCATGACATTTTTTTAAAAAATGAAAAATCTTATAATTTAAGAAAAGCTACTTTTTCTGCTCTGCCCCCCCCCCCCCATTTCAGAATGGTTCTATATGTTAAGTGCTTAAGCAGCATATGTTGCTGGGAAGTGTTCTTGGCTCTTTTACTCTTTGTTGTTGTTTTAATTTCCCTGGGTTCTATTTAACATTCTGCTAAATCAGTGAAACCTTGATTATCTAAAAGAATAGGAGACATGGAATTAATGAGGATAGCCAGAATTTGGAAGAAATAAGAAATTATTAGAGGTGAAAGCTGAATGACAGGGGCCATGAATGAATTTCAGACTCTGGAATTGCTTGCTTTATTCAAACTGATTCTATTAATTGATGGACATAATGACGTTTTGATAATCAGGGTTTCACCATTGCATTTATTCCTATTCCTCGAAATCAAGGTAACCTTGGGCTCTACTTCCCATATTTACAAGGTGATAAAAATCCTAATAGGCTGTCAGGGACAAATGTGACTGCTTTTCCTCACACTCCTCCCATGAAACGAGCTTCCTCTCTTCCCATCTGGCTGCTGCCTGCCTGGAGCATGCTACCTTTCCCACATCTCAACCCCTCCACCTCCCTCCTCCCTGTGGGCTCTGTCTTCATGCATGCAGCGGCTGGAATCACGCAGGGGGGAGAAAACGGCCCGCTCCTTCTAGAAGTTCTGGGTCATTTTAGCCACACTGCTTTGCATTTTAAATACCATTCATCTGACTTCAAAGCTCTGCATTCCTGTATCAGGCACTTGTCCTTTAAAAACCCAGGAGGTCACATCAGGTCTCAGTTCCATGAAGTAAAGATACTGCCAAACCAGGAGTATTGCATTATTTTGTATTTGATAGCCTGAAATGGACAGTGATAATATCCAAGATTGCAGCAAAAAATCCATATGAAAAGGACTGATAAAAAAAAAAAAAGGCAGCAAACTACATTTGTTTGGAAACTGGAGTCACAAGCTTCGTTTGTTGGGGGGTGGGGCGGGAAGGGGGAGCACAAGATCGATAGAGATTTTTTTTTTTTTAAGCTGAAAACATGATGTACCAGATGAACTTAAATTGATTCTGCTTCTCCTCCCCGCGCCCACCCCCCACCCTCCCCCTCATTCTGCAGCGAATGTCTGCGACAACGAGCTCCTGCACTGCCAGAACGGAGGGACGTGCCACAACAACCTGCGCTGCCTGTGCCCGGCCGCGTACACGGGCATCTTCTGCGAGAAGCTGCGGTGCGAGGAGGCCGGCAGCTGCGGCTCGGGCTCGGGCTCGGGCCAGGGCGCGGCCCCGCACGGCTGCCCCGCGCTGCTGCTGCTGCCGCTGCTGCTGCCCGCGCTGCTGGGGACGGCCGGCGCCCTGCGCTTCTAGGCTTCGCGCGCGGCCGCCGGACAGGCGCGTGCCCGCGCCGTGGGGAAGCGAACGCAACGCAAGCAAGCATTTGCTACTAACATAGGAAACACATACACTCACACGCGCGCGCAGGCAGCCCCACTCAAAACAGTGTACAAACTAAGAAGGCCTAACCGAACTAAGCCATATCTATCAGCCGTGGACAGCACATCCGAGTCAAGACTGTTAATTTTCTGACTCCAGAGGAGTTGGCAGCTGTTGATATTATCACTGCAAATCACATTGCCAGCTGCAGAGCATATTGTGGATTGGAAAAGGCTGTGACAGCCCCCCCAAACAGGAAAGACAAAAAAAAACAAACAAACAAACAAATCAACCAACCTAAAAACATTTGCTACTCTAAGTGGTGCATCCTCGTACCACCCTGCCCAGTGTATGGACCAACCAAATAGCATTCTTTGCTGTCAGGTGCATTGTGGGCATAAGGAAACCTGTTACAAGCTGCCATATTGGCCTGCTTCAGCCCCTGAACCCCTTCCGACCTGTGCTTTAGTGAACGTTGCTCTGTAACCCTTGTTGGTTGAAAGATTTCTTTGTCTGATGTTAGTGATGCACATGTGTAACAGCCCCCTCCAAAAGTGCAAGCCAGTCATACCCCTGTATATCTTAGCAGCACTGAGCCCTGCCAGTGTGAGCACACACCCACTATACGAGAGTGGCTATAGGAAAAAAAGAAAGTGTATCTATCCTTTTGTATTCAAATGAAGTTATTTTTCTTGAAATACTGTAATATGTAGATTTTTTGTATTATTGCCAATTTGTGTTACCAGACAATCTGTTAATGTATCCAATTCCAATCAGCAAAGACTGACATTTTTAGTTTGTCCTCTTTCGTTCTGTTTTGTTTCATTGTGCAGAGATTTCTCTGTAAGGGCAACGAACGTGCTGGCATCAAAGAATATCAGTTTACATATATAACAAGTGTAATAAGATTCCACCAAAGGACATTCTAAATGTTTTCTTGTTGCTTTAACACTGGAAGATTTAAAGAATAAAAATTCCTGCATAAACGATTTCAGGAATTTGTATTGCAATTTCTTAAGATGAAAGGAGCAGCTACCAAGCAGTTTCACACTCACTTTACTGATTTCGGTGTGGACTGAATACATTCAGCTGACGAATTTAGTACCCAGGAAGATGGATTGATGTTCACTAGCTTGGACAACTTCTGCAAAATATGAGACTATTTCTACTTGGGAAAAATTACAACAGAAAAAAAAAATCTAAGTGATTGCCAAGATTATGCCAAAGCCTGTTGGCAGAGTACTAAGAGACTCTTATTTTTAAGTCATGCTATTTTCACAGATTGATGGTGATCATGTGACTCTAGGGATGCTGATCTATGTATCTTTCCAAATACAGTGTTTACATGGAGTGTCATAAGAGACAACCTGGGGAACCAGGAAAGTAGCAGGGAAACTGAGTGATTAGCAATTTGACTTTGAATATATTCAGACTAAGTATTTATAGGAAATATCAAAATATACAGCAGCAAATAGACATAACTGCTGTTTCTGAGAATAAAGTTTGTTTTAAGTACTGCCCAAGGTGTAATAAATTCTTGTTTCTGCCTTTTATTAGGCCAATTACTGTGCAAGACAGCAAGGGGAGGCAGGTGGGGAAGAACCACTACAAAGTTTCAAAGATGCTAACACAGTGTGTACTTCGTTCCCAGCATGCTGTTGTCCTACAGGTTACAAATGTGTTCACGGCAGCATCTCCTGGAATCAAAAACAATTATCAGCCCAAGCCAGAGTCTTCAGGACAATGAAGTTCTACATGACTTGGTAGAACAGTAACCTATGATAGTAACAGGTTTCAAGGCTAGTTCCAGTCTGCATTCTTCACCCTGCTGCCACTCCTTGCTGAAACAGGGGAGGGGGGCCGAAATGTCTCCTGATAAATAACCTGGGAAAAAGCTAAATGAGGGAACAGCATGTCTCATTGGTTTTGTTCCCAGAAAAGCCAATTCAAAGAAGGCAATAAAAGGTAAACAGGTAATGCCTGTACCGCCTGCCACCCCACGACTAAGTCTATTGAATGTTTGTTATTCAAACCAACAGTCTCTTTAGATGTGAGAAATAAGAAAAGATGAAAATAAATTAGAGCTTTGGCTTGGTGCCAGAGTGGCCAACCAGAAATTGGAGATTTACTCTGGAAGTATAAATAGAAAATTATGTTTCAGGCTCACCAAAGAATACACATGAAAATTCTGATAACACAGGGAGTTAGAAATGACTTATAATGAGGTGGATTTCTAATATTAAAATTGGCATTTAAGTTGTCTTACAGTTTATGAGCACAAACCAAAGGCAGCCCATGTTATTCCCGGCATCGATGCACTTTACGGTTACCCACTCATGCCTTTGTCACAATGCTCAGGAATCAGACACTGCGCATTTCAATATGTGGGATTCCATAAGCTAATTCTAAAATTTAATGAAGGCCTGATCTAAATCAGTTCATCTGCATTTTATCTTTATGAGGCTATAAGAATCTAAATTGATTAGGAATATCTTGCGTTCAGTGCATTTAGATATAGTTTTCCGAATTTCCTGAAGCGATGTGATCTGCTTTTAATAAAAATTCACTTTTAGGTATACAACAAATGGAAATGAAATGTTCTTTTCAATCTGGATTCTCAAGTTCCTCTAGAGGGCCTATTCCTTTGAAGAAACCCCAACTCAGTGGACTTTATTCACCTGCTGCTTTCCAGCCTCCTTACGAAGCTGGTTTCATCTATGGTGTACGGCCTCAGTACAGGATTGGGGGGACACGGGGGTACTCGGTTGTTCAAACATTTGAGGTCCTAATACCTGTTCTTTTTTCTGCTTGGCTCTATCCCTAAAGGTTGTTAATATAATCTTGCTGATGAGTTAATCTATCAACTTTTCCATGGAGTAAAAACATAATTCCTTCCATCAATGCTATTGATGAGCATCAAATTTCAAAAAATGTGACAAAGGTTCAGCTATCTAGAAAGTGTTGCTGTTTACAGGAAAGTAGTGAACATGGCCTGCTGTACTGTGAAAGGGATTTATTTCTGACCCTGTACACAGCCTCAAGGAAGAACTTCAGTCCAACAAAGAGAGACTCTTGCTTAGAGGGGCCTATTCTGACCCTCCTCCAGCTTTGTCTCAGATGCCAGAAATCTGGAATTCCCTATTTAGATGTCCTCCCCCCACTTGTAGGGTACGTGTAGGCCTCGTCTGGGGGGCCAGAGTCCTGAAAGCAGGCTGCATCAGGAGTGCACATCCCTGGGCACATGGGGTGGCAGAGGGTGCAGCTGTGTGGGTAGATTAATCCCTGGGGCCTGGAGTGTTCTCTGGGGAATTCACACACAAGCAAGGAGAGGCTCCTTGCAGTGAAGACCAGAGTGCATGGACAAGAGGGGCGTGAAGAGCAGGAAGGAGATAGATAGACAAAGGCTACCTCCAGGCCAGTAGGAGCCGTCTAAGGCTTCTAAATCTACACCTGGGCTTCTGGTTATGAAAGCATATGTGTCAAAGTAGCAGGGTGGGATATAGTTTATTTAACACTTTGTTAGCTTGATATATAATTCCTAAATACTTACACATAAGGCATGTGGGCCTCCATTGGTACTTTTGTCCTGGGCCCTGTGAACACTTGGCGTGGATCTGCCTGAGGTGCTCCTGAGTCCAATCCCTAAGCTGGCACAAATCACTCGCCTGGTAACATAAAGAAAGGTCCAAGTTGAAAGAAGGTATCTGCTCCATACTTCAACTGTCCCTACAGTTAATGCTCACCTCAACCTTTCTTGGACCTGTGGTCTTACTGGAGTATAAGAAATTTGGGATGAATTGGGGTCAGCTGTGATGAAATCCTGACATCAAATCTTTTGTTCCATTTCCTTCACCCTCTGCCATCCAGTATTATTGGGTTGTAAAGACCCAGTATTCTGCAATGGGATGCTCTGTGCAATATGGGAAACGAGTTGTTGTACTTTACCTATTGTTAAGTTCTAAATGTAATATCTATTTAAGAGTTTCTGTGCTCACAAGATTGAACAGGATATGTGGGTACTAGGTGCTCTGTATGTTCGTTGTGAAATCTACAGGCATTCATGATAGGGTGTGATTCAAAGCTCAGCTTCAAGAATCTGAACTAGAGTTCCTTGCCTACAATTTGTACCCCCAGCCTCAGGTGATAAGGATGGGCTGGCAATGGTGGCAGCGCTAAACTGCGTCTTAGAACAATATGAATAACAGGTTTGTTGTTTGCTTTTAGGAAATCCAACTGGACAATCTTAACAGATAGGACTGAAAAATACAGATAAGGAGCACCCTCAGGGTTCTGATTCAATTATCTGGTCCTGCACAACTCTTTCTTTGCCTCAGGAAATAAAAACTCGATTCTAATCAATTATTTTGCTAGGAAATATCAAATGCTCATCTGACAAATATTCTGTCAGTTCTGACCATTTCTATACAGAATGATTTTTCACTTTTAACTAACTATATTTTTATTTTCTTACACTAAGAGTAGCTTTTTCCTTTAGCTACCTAAAACAAATGCTGACAAATTCCCAGCATAAACAGCACATAAACGTATTATTAATATGATGTCAGAAAGAATTAATAATGCCAACCATCATATTTTGAATTTTCAGCAATAATCCTGGGAACATAGTGAACTTTGACTCTTCACAACACCTGGTAAGGTATGACTCACATATTACTGTCTTCATTTTACATCTGAAGAATCAAATAACTAAGAAACAGATATCATATAAATCATATTATTGCATTTAACTAGGAATGAGAAAATAACATCTATGAAAAACTCAAAATAATATTGAATCAAATTCAGTTGCTTGAGATCTATTATGGCAGGAAAATTCTGCCCCTAATACATTTTTAAAGCAGGTCCTGAAACAACTCTAGCAAAAAGACTAAAATGATTTTAGGGGCTGTTTAGATTTAAATAGTTGAGCATTTAATAAATGCTGGAATCCCCCTCTGCCATTTTCCATCATCCAAAAGCTGTTTTTAATTGATAGATGAATTAAAATGGAGTAGTAACATTTAAAATTATGTGATGTTTTTATTAACGTGAAATGATAGCTGGTAAAATGGGCCATTATTCTGCAAAATCTAATTATGTTAACGCTAAAGATTTAGCTAGGCTGGCTGAAGCAAACTGCAGAGGATAGGAAGTAAAAATAATCCCCACTTTCTTAACTTAGTCCCATTTTTTCAGAGGCATAACTTTTAACTATTATTTAACTAGTGAACTATGAATTTCATGGGGAAAAAATTGAGGAAAGAGAAAAAATAATTACTGTCCCTCATTCCTCTGTCGGAATAGATTCTGAAATTCCTGCGTGGCAAGAATGTTTCAGGTTACGTGAAAGACATAACGTACTACAGTTGTATCCTCTAGCCTCCCCGATAGTACTACATTACAGCTTTTCTCTTACAAGGCGCAGTCATTCTAATCTAATAAAAGAAGGAAAATGGCAGAAAATCACACACCTGAAGTCCTATTAAGAATAGGTGATTCTTTTTGCCCCAGGCAGGCGAGAACATAATGTCATTTTTGTTCGTTTGTATTTGCGCTCTGAAGGAGGGCTGCTCCTGGTGGGGAATGGTTTTCCCTCTGCCAGTGTGAAACGCTGCAAGAAAACATTCTCCAAGGAAATAGCATTTTCCTATTTACCAGTCATGACTACCCCATGAAGCCCTGAGTAATTGTTTTGGCTTTCATGGTGTGATAAACACCTAGAGGCAAAGAGATTAGTGTCATCACTCTCAGTCTCTTTTTCTCTCCCTTTGGAAAAACAAGGTGTGTGTGTGTGTGGGGGGGGTGTCCAAATATAGCATGACAACGTTTGCAAGAATCTTTCAGGGAGTTGATGCTTAATTATAAAGACCCCAGCTAAATATTTCATTTATTAAATTAATAGCGTGACAAATATTGGAGCAGCTTTACAACCACTTAAACTTGTGTTTACATCCTGTGTAATTACAATTCATAATTGGGAAAGCAGTCAAATCTAAATGCATTCTGATCAATTGGTTCTCAGTCTGCCAAGTACACCCAACACAACACATTACAGCAAGTGACTCTTAAAAACAGAACTTCTACACCTAGAATTCAAAGCAGATTAGGGAAGGGCAATGTAGGGAATCTATCAGGGAGGTGTTTTAAATTATGTATAAGATTTTGTGTATGTACTATTTTTTTTTCTGGACAAAATTTTTCTTTTTTTTTTTTGAAGAAAAATCTAAAAGTATAAGAATGACTGCTCTGAATCCTAGGATTAAGATGTACCCCAACTGTGGAAGATCTCTTAAACCGTAAATCGTTGTCAGGGGATGAATGATAATGACATGAAGGTACATGATAGCACATGTTTTTAGTAATCAGCTATTTATTCATTTCATACTGACTTTATCTCTACCTGAGCTGCTAAGAGCATCTATATTCCCTTTTGTGGAAATACATACTTATATAAGTGTACTATAATAACATACAAATATATATTTTAATATATGGTCATGGTTCAAGAAGCCAGATATGAAATAAAAATGAAAATGGCTCAGATCAGGACTATAGTGTAAGTGCCAAATGATCAAGATATCTTGGCAACTTTGGTATATTGGTCTCATGGCAGCCTGCAGGACCAAAAGAGCCTCCCATCATCTGGGCACATGGACCAACCTTGTTGGTTTAAAGGATATTGGTTCCAGTAAAGAGTTCCACATAAGGCTCTTAGGAGAATCTATATTTCTCAATATTTTAAATATTTGTGTTAATATTTTGATAATAAAAGCCTCATATCTTATCATTGGTTCCAATTCAATGATAATGAAATTATGACAATTAGAGATATATCATTTTAATTCAATCTGATAATGTAGATTTTTCATGTAAATTTTCACTTTAATGCACACAACATATTTGCAATTATAATCAAATACCTATATTTATATTATTCATAATAAGGGCTGCCTTGAATTAAAGGCAGGCAGCCTTCAGTTGAATTGAGCCACCTATTTGAGGATGTTACCACATAGATTAGTGTCCATTAGTCAGATTCTGTCACTGGAAATGTGATCACACTCTGAAAAAGAATGAAAAAATATGGGTTCTGATTCTGCTATCAGGGTTGTGAGAAGCACTACATACTCTAATTTTTCTCTACTGCAGACATTTTACTAGAAAGGGCTCCAACTGTTTATTTCCCACATTTGTCATAAAATTTATAAAAAGTAAAATAAATTATGTGTGACAGAGGAACACACTTGGATTGAATCGCAAAAAGTCATTTTCTTTTTGACTGGTTTGTTTCATTTTTATGGTTATTCTAGCTTACAAGCATTAGATCAGGAGCAAGGTCCTCCTAATTGTCTTTAAGTTTCTCTAAGTTATAAGCACTATTCTGACTATGTGAGTCCCTTACGTTTCCACTTGATCCTCTAGACCTGCGACAGCCACTGGCCACTAGAGACCTCTGGTGCATGAGCACAGTTTTTTAGGAAAAATTGCTCGCTTCATACCTTGAACTCAAAACCCATCTTCGCACTGGCCCCAGTACACTTGTCCAAACCAGAGCCGTGAGAATGCCCTGCCCAT